CACAGAGCTCCTAAATCCCTTGGAATTTTCTAAGTAATGAGAACAATAAAGGTGTCTTTTGTTGTTTAACCAGGTGACCTTGTACCACACCTAAGGATGGGGGCTGGTTGCCAGTGGAATCAAACATCTAATTTAGAGGGTTGGAACTTCAGTCCCAAACCACTACCCCCACCTCTGTGGTAAGGGAGGGCCTGTAGGTTGAGTGCAACCAACAGTGGCCAATGATTTAATCAATCATGCCTATGTAATGAAGCCTTAAAACCCCCAAAAAATGGAGTTGAGAAAGCTTACAGGTCAGTGAACATGTGGAGATTTTGGGAGACTGGCATGCTCCGAGAGCACAGAAGCTATACACCCTCAGTCATAATTTGCCCTATGTGTCTCTGCCATCTGTTGTCCCTGAGTTATATCTGTTTGTAATAAACCAATAATCTAGTAAGTCACTATAGCAAATTAATCAATGCAAAGAGAAGGTCATGGATACCTCCAGTCTATAGTCAGAAGCACAGGTGACAATATGGACTTGTAATTGGCATCTGAAGTGGAGGGGAGAGGAGTAGTCTGTAGGAATGAATCTTTAACCTGTGAATCTGATGTTACCTCCAGGTAGGTAGTGTCCTAATTGATTGAGGTAAGCTGTAGGATATCCAAAAGGTGTCCAAGAATTGCTTGGTGGCGTGGAACCCACGACACACCATGTTGGAAATGGCGGTAAATGCTTTAGCTCTAGTCAACATCAGGTGCTTCCTTATGTAATGCAGTGAAAAGACTACAATACACACGCATTATTCCTGCCAAAAATGCATAGCATGAATCCAATCATGAGGAAACATTAGAAAAAATCAAATTGAGGGACATTCTACTAAACAGCCAATACTCTTCAAAAAATGTCATTGTCATGAAAGAGAAAAGGAAGGCTTAAGGAACCATTCCAAATTAAAGGTGCTTTAAGAGACATGGAAACAAAAATGCAAAGCATGATCAATCCCGTACTGGGTTCTGGATGAGAAAAAATATTCCTAAATAGGATATTGAAACAACTGGAGAAATTTGATTAAGGTGTATAGATTGAATAAGAGTATTGTATCAATAAAAAAGTGTTCTGAGGAGGTCCAAGATGGCAGCACAGAAAGAGCCTGACCTCACCTCCTCCTATTCACATACTGAATCTACACCTACATAAAGTACAATTCTTCCTGAAGAAGTAGGGCAAAATAATCTGTTTGTTTCTATGAGGCAAGCAAAACAGCTACCTCCCCCAGTCTTGAAGGCGTGGCCTTGTGAAGAAATGTCCCCTGGGTGTGCCTGGTGGCTTTGGCTGGCTGAATGGAAGCAAGGAAGGTACAGGCTGGGGAACCCTGGGGCATTTCACTCAGAAACCATATGGCTGCAAAGCCTACAATATTTACTGTTGGGCCCTTCACAGAAAATGTTAGTTCTTGCTATAGGCCAGGAAAATAATGGTTACTGAGTGACCTGCAGTTCCCAAACTGTGAGAGCTACAGAGACACTGCAGGGTATTTTCAATTTTTAAGGAAAACAGTGACATCTGTCAGACAGCATGTGGACTACTAGCTTTAGATAATCTGCAGTTTCAATATTAGATTAAGTTAATTCTTTTGGAAATATTTACAAAGCCAAGTGGTTGCTACAATCATAAGCAAATACACAAAATCCAATGTGGAACAGGAAATGAGGATAGTGGTTTCTAATCTGATTTCAAGCTTTAAGAACTTGGCAGTGCCCTATAGGTATGCACAATCCCTTTAGTAAGCAATTTATGTGTATATTTTAAATGGGTACCAAGTTATTAGGACATAAACACATTGGTTTGTTTGGACCTAACTATTTAGTAAACAGAAACTAAGGACATTGAGAAAAAAATTACTCAGACACTAAAGGTGACATGACCCTCTGATCTAGCAGATGATCAATAGCTAGTGAAAAGCTGGAGGGGAACTTTGTAAGAGACAATATTTGAGCACACTGAACTCTTATTATCACAAACGAAAGACCTCCAGAAATCATGTGCTTTCTAATGTGAAGGAAAGTACAAAACACCACTTACAAAGACTTGATTTATCAAGTTTGGATATGATCAAGCTTGTAGACTTGACTAACAGGCTACTATCTCTGTAAAGTCTGTATTCTTTATTGTGTGGCCACTGAAGTCTGTTTTGTTGCCCTAGTGGTCAGCTAGTGATTCAACAGATAGGTCTTTATTAAATGCCTGTAAGCCATAATTTAAAAATGCAAAAAATGCCTCTTCCATTCTTTGCCAATTAGCTATGTGTTGGGGCACTTTAATACTAAGCACGTCTTTAATGCGGCAGGACACTTCACAGTTCTGCCTTATCAGGAAGTAAAGGCTAAGAGAAACTTACAATTATCCCTGGTGTTTTCTGAGCATAAGTCCAGAAAAGACATGCATTGGCCTTCTAGATTGCCCAGAATAACAGAGAGCTTTTCATTAACTTTATTCCTCCAAGTATCTGCTCGCACCAGCCTCTTCCTTTCTAGGCTTTTTTGTCTGTTTATTGCTTCCCCGACTGTTGTACCTTACCCCTAGTGGCAGTGGCTAATACACGTGCTTTAAATACTCTCAACAAATACTCTCTGGGAAGCTGCCTCAACTCTGTGGACGCTGCAAGGTAGGTGAAACGAAGGCAAGTCCTTGAGACAGACCTTCAGGGAACCACCAGCAGGTCAAAACACACAATAACAGTTCCTTGAGAATAGGATCCATATAGCTCCCTCTGGTACCAGCAGCCTACAAAAGGAAAGTGGGCTGCTGTCTTCAAGGCCATTGCCAAGCTGGAGAGTGGGAGATGATCACAAAGCACACTTGGCAAAATTCAGCAGTCTTTTCTTAACAGTTCACCTAGTTGCTGTAAATTTTTCATTAGAGTCCAGAGCCTAAAGAAAAAGTTAATTCTGCCATTTTCACCAGTTTACTGGTTGCTTTTGTAGAGGTTTTCAAGGTTCCCCATTCTGCCATTTTCACTGATGTCACTCCACCGTATTTACTTTTGTGCTTCTCAGCCTTGCTGAAAATTATTTTCTCAGTCAGGAATACAGAGAAAGAAGAATATTTTGCTATCACTGAAGCTATCAAAAGATGTACTGATTTGAAGGCAGGCCAAAGAACAGTTGCAGAAGTTTTTAAATAAGGGAACTATTACCACAATAACTTTTATCTGCCTTACAGGTAATATTCATTACATCATTTGCCTTCCATTTGTCAAGCCCTGAATAACAGAGGCAGTGTTCTGTGGTGTTTGAAAGCAAAGCCTTTGGAATAAGACCTCAGGTTAACCTCTGGTTCTTCTGCCACTTAGTTGTTTGGTCCTTAGGTAAGTCACTTAAATTCTCTAGAAGTGTTTCCTTGTCAGTAAAATATGAATAATATACACTTCTAGAATCATAGTAAAGTCTTACAGAGATTGTTACATATTGGTACAATATGATTTCAAATCCACTTGTTAATGACAAAGACAAAAAAAAGTTTTTAAAGTAAAGCTCTTTGATATAAGAACAAAGTAAGTTGTGTCAGCATGTCATCTCATCTCTTCTCACCCAGTAAGAATTCAGTAGCTCAGTTTGCTGAGGGGCCCCACTGGGGACTTAACTATAAAAACATATGAAGAAGCAACTAGGGCAAGGGGACATTTAGACTATCAATACTGAGAGATTGTGAGTTTTGTCTGGAAGTGTTGCCTGGGAAAGGCAACTCTTTGATGATCTAAAATAGCTCCCTGAAGATCTGGGGGTAGTTAGCTCCTGCCACAGTGAAGGGGACCCTTACTGGCAGTGGCAAATGCAGAGCAGTCTGGCGCTGGTGTCCCTTTCCCTAGCAATGTAGTCTAGCAACAGGAGACTTTCCCTTTTGTGCTGACAGCTGAATGGCCAGCTCTCAGTTAGCTAAACCATCCCTCTGAGTACCAACTCCTAAAAAGGTACAGACAACTCAACTAAATTTGGACTTTATTCCTTTCATCTCCCCTTGCCTAGAACAACAGTGTGATTAATCTATCATTGATCTGGAGCACATAATTTCTTTATTGGCTTAGTGAGAGACATTAATCTGTATGCTATTGGCTTGGGAAACTCCCACTGTGAACCTGTGTTAAATAAACCAATGGCAAAGACAACTGCACTCGCTGAGCATTGCTTTGCCTCCTGAAAAAAGAAGCAAAGATACTATACGTAAAATGCTGCGCACTCAATATTAGCTTTTTGTTAAATTTATGTTGAGTTCTTTGTGACATTACAGTATGTGGTTTTTGTTTTTAATTTTTAAAGAAAGCCGCTGGTTGCTTTTGTAAGAAGGGCTTTGTGTTGCCATGTAGGGACTTACAACGAGCTGAGTTTTGATAACAAGTACACTGATTTCACTTAGATCGTATGTTTATTTGGAGTATCTTTGGGAGAAATTTCTAGGGATGGGGAGAGGGTGCTAAGATCCTACTAAAGCCCCTCTTTCAACACATTTAAAAAAATAACAAAATAAACCTAACTGTGTAGACAAGGGAAGGAGAATGCAAACTCAGTTTTTTCCAAACCACTTCCCTCGGTGTCCACAGCGTTCCAGCACGTGGCGGGGGTATAGAACAACCGCCAGGGACGCCCGAGAAGAGAGACAGATAATGGGAGATCAGCCCTAGGGGAAAATCCCACATAAACTGTGACACCCGGGTGGTAAGGATTGCCGGGATCGTATACCTCCTCCCATACCCTCACCCTCCAGGAAGCTTTAGGACCTCAGGAGCGCAACCAATGACAGGCTGCGGATCACCAGGTTTGCCCTTCCGGGGCCCCTCCTTCCCTACCGGGTGAGGGCTCTGCGACGAGAGGCGGGCGGGCTGTCGCGGGGGACTCTGGAAGTTGTAGTCCACTGTGGCGGCAGTTTTTATCCCGGTCGCGAGTTTAGAGCGTTCGGAACTGCATCCCCCGCCGGGCCACGCGGCCCGAGCCATTGTCTGTTCCTGCTTAAGGTATGAGGAAGATCTCTGCAGCAAGCTGAGAGGATGTGGGAAGGGGTCTCCCTTGCCGCTGAGTTCTCCGAGTTTGCGGTGCTGGCCTGTGCAGGAAAAGCACGTTCTCTGGTTTTGCAAACTCACCCCTCGGGTAGAGCGGAGGGGACAGCGGGGTAGCGGCGGGAACCTCTGAGCTTGCTGCGGAGCCGGCTGTCACCCGGGGAAGTTCTTTGGTGCATCGCGTCGCAACAGTGGCTTCTTGGGGGAACGGTGAGGCCAAAGCTGGGGCCGCGGGGACCAGCCCGAATGGATCGCGCGTGCCTCTCCCAGGGCTTGGGTGCAGGAAAATCAGGGACTCCAGCGGGGAGGCTGAAAAGTTTTGTTGTTGGGGTTGGGGGGCGGCGTTGTAGCTGTTTTTGGTGTCCACTGGAGCCGTAGGGAAAAGGTAGGGTTGCGGTAGATGAACACCCGGGTGAGAGAAAGAGGGAGAAGGAACATTGGGAGAATTGAGGGGATGGGAGCGCCTTTCTCTGTCCGGAGTAGGATAAAGAGGAGAGATGGGGGAAGAAGCCCCACGGTGCTTTGAGCTAGTTGTCCTGCGTTTGGGACTTTGTTTAAAGCTCAGAGTATTGAGTGAGATGTTAGGAGTGAATATATTTGTTCATGTCATCTTTTGTATTTAGCTCCCTGTATCGGTGTTACGTCTATGGTAAATTAATGTTCGATGTATTTTAACATTTTAGTTAATGACTGATAGCACTAGTCAGTGTTATCGTCTATGCAGTTTTAGCTATGGAACTCTAACTCACCTCTCAACCTAACTCCTCAAACCTCGAATATCTTACATAGTTCTACTCATCAAGACTTTCAAAAAAGCATACATTGCCTTTGAAGCAGCATTCTTGGGGAATTTGAAGTTTAGTTTAATTGACTAGTTGAGGCAACTGAAAATTACCAATTTCCTTACAATTTTTCATATTTAGTGGAATATTATTAAATATTTTATTTGAAATGCTCTAGGGACCTCGGACTCATTGATGGTTTATTTTAAATCATTGAGATATTATTGGTGTTTTGCTCCTTTGGAATAAATAGCTAATTTGACATTGCCACTAAATTTCAGATTTGCTTAGAATAAATACCCAAATGTGATTACACTGGAACCTTTCTATTAGTTCTTGAATAGCCTTGATATTTCCCCAACCTTGATTATCACTTCTTGGCAAGGCTAACTGAAATACAAAGACCTTTCTAGATTTTCCTGTTTCCTAGTGTCCTAGCATTCAATATTTACCAAAAGAATTCATCTCCAGGAGTTAAAAGAATCCTGTTTCTAAACTGAACCACATTCTCAGTTTAGTAGGAACCAATACTGCAGAAGGTATTGGTTAACCAAGTAGGTCAGGAAGTGTAGCTATATTTCTGCCATTGATTAAGCAGATACCGTTTTTCCTACCCTTGACTTGGCTATTAACCTTTCCTCTGTTTCCCTGCCACTGGAAGGATTATTTCCGGCCAAGGAAATATCTAGCCTTGGAACAAAAAAGTTTGCATCAAGACAAATTCATTTAAGCTAGTTTGCTTTAAGAAAAACAAATATGTTGTGTCAAACTTGTAATCCAGATACTAAGGCACACATTTTCAGTCCTTATAGTCCCAGCTGTTTTTAAAAAGAGTTTAAAGCTATTGGGCATCCTCGGCATTATTGCTCTTTTATTTACAAATCTAAACAAGACTTGATTTTCAGATGCTTCTTTTGTGTTCCAGACATCACAGTATAGTGGAAATAACACTTGGGGTCAAAGTGACCTGGTTTCAATTCCAGCTGTGGCTTCATTAACTCTGATTTAGGGCAAGTTACTTCTGAACCTCAATTTCTTTTTTTGTAATCTTAAGATAATATGTATTTCCCAAATTCTGAGGATTAGTTGCAGTTAAATAACATGTAAAAAATTAGGCCAGCAGTAGGCATTCAATGAATAAATATTAGTTCCATCTCCTAATATCTGTCTGTTGACTTGTCTTTTTCTCTGAGTTTTTCTCTAAAGCGACAACCAGTTTTCTTCTTCAGAAATGAATTCTTTTATTTTAGGTCTGTTCTGGTTGTGACAGTTTAATAATTCTAAGAAGTTCAACTTTATTATCTTTCTTATGTTGCTGAGTTTTACTCACTTTATACCGAAGACATGTAAATACATCAGCTGATTTTATTGAGGCCACTAAAGTAAGCCAAGATACAATTTTTCTAGTTAATTTTCAAGAGCCAAATTCATAATAAAAATAATGTCTATGTTTATTGAGCACTCACGTAGGCCAAAGACATTATATACTCTTATTTAAGTCTCAAACCCTGTAAAACTAGTATTTTTATTACCCTCAAAACCAGTGACTCAGTGCTAGGGTGTCATCTTTTCCTACATATATGGATAACAATAACAATATAATACACACAGTAGTAGTAGTATAACTCCATTAAAGTTCCCAGACCCTATTCCCATGTATGTAAATATGTGGGAGGGGGTCTTCCCACACATACCAACACCAAGCAATTCTTAAACGCCAGCAGGGTGTCTGAGAGTGCAACTCAGTTCTGATGCTGCCTGCCCAGAGACAGCACCAGATTCCCCAGGTTAAGGGCTCCCTCCTTCAAGACTGCCTCTCTCCCCAACTCCTTTTACCAGTTGCAAGCCCCAGGCAGTTCCCTGTGCCTCTGATCTACTGGCTACAGATGGAAGATTCCCACAACCTCCCGCTTAGGTTCCATTAATTTGCTAGAGCTGCTCACAAAACTCAGGAAAACACTTAACGTATATCATAGAGCATACAAGTTAACAGCCAGATGAAGAGATGCATAGGGCAAGGTCCCAAATAACGGAACTTCTGTACTGGGGGAGCTTGGGGCCTGGTTTGGTTGTGCGTGGAGGCATTCTCCAACAGAGTAACAAGATCCCAGAGAGCAGAAAGCGATAAGCTCTTCTGAGGGTTTTTTGTGAGGACTTCATTGCATAGTCATGATTGACTAAATTATTGGCCATTGGCAGAGGCCCTGCCCTTGGGTAGGTGTCCAAAAGTGTGCCATTAACATGACAAAACACTCATTTCACCTTTAAACATTTCAGTGTTTTCTGAAACTGTGGATGAAGACCAAATATACCTGGGAAATAGGTATTTGGTCATATTGAAGTAGGGCAGGGACATGGCACAAGTGTCATGATTAACTTTTCCTCCCTATGATGAATAGTGCCAAGATATAGACAGTATAGTAAGAACAGGAGGAATTCCATCTGAAGGCTAAGATTCCATTTTAAAAACCAAGGAGTTAGGAGGTAAGATTCTTAACATATTCTTTGGAATCAGATAATAACCCACCCTATCTTAAAGCAGAGAAAGCAGTCCTAACCAATATGTTCCCAGTGCTTGAGGGAAACCACTATCTTAGAGAAGAAAAAGATAAATTCCTTGTGTTAAATTTATCTTGTAGAATTATCTAGAATACTGACTGTGGTTAGTGACATAATGTCTCTCATCAAAGAGAAAGATCATGAAACCACAAGTCGAGCCTATAACTCCCCCCACCCTCCACCCTTTGCCCCATTCTTGAAAGCCTTAAAAAACAGAATCCTAAACCTTTAAGTGTGCCTTCTCTCTGAGGTTGCCCGCACTCACCTTTCTTTGAATGTACTTTTTAAATAAAGCCTTCTCACTACTCAACTTACTGCATTTTGTCTCTGCACTCTTCCAGTAGTAAGCATCTTTGTTACTTTGCTATTTCATTAATTTAGCACAAGTCTTCACTCTCTCTGTCCTACCTCAGATAAGTAGGAAAGAGCTACTAAGATCTCTGATTTGGGCTTGCAATTCCTGTTGCCTGGGTGACCAGTATAGGACTGCAGCTGTATGATCATGCTGAAAATTTCCTTTCTTTGCCATTGAGAAGCTCTCAGAACATAATCTTATTTTATTCCATGTTCTACGGCTCCCCCAAATCCTGGGGCTGTAGAGGCTTGGTCCCCATACTGTGCAGATCCAAGCAGACACTAGACATCAGGTGACCCTAGCTTTAAGAGTTGGCAGGAGATTTGCCCTATACTGAGCAGGAGTTCAATGAGCTTTCCTTTCCTCCCTCTGTTTTCCCTTGCTCTCTGCTTCCTGCAAGGCAGCTACCATTCCCTACTACTCTTGCTTTAATGAATACCTTCCTTACCTACCCTTTTCTGACCTGCTCAAAAATTCTTATTCAGAGTCAAGAACCGTCCCCTGGCAATGTTGAATTTTTCCTGCTGCTTCACCTAGTGCATGGGGAAAGACTTCCTCAGCTGCCCAGCACCTTTTTGGTGACCTAACATGGTGCTCACTAACAGTACAGATAAGGAGGAATTCTGTGCTACTTGAAGGCACTCCTTGTCTCTTCCTCTTGAATTTATGGTTGTTTTTACTTCTTCCTTGGTGGGCACTGATCACCCACCCTATGGCACATTCTCCCTATATGTTACAGTTCTAACTTCCAAGAATCCATTTCCTTCTCTTCTGGTGCCTGTTCCCTGACTCAGTCTAGCACTTCTTCCTCCCAATTCCATGCCTGTCCTTCTGCCTCCTGCTTATTTCTCTTGTTTCTTCATTCACATCCAAACTACCAACTTCTTTGAATCTTATGACTCTCTAATTAGAGTCACCAAATTAAAGAGCTTTGTCTCCCCTCAGGCCATTGAAAGTACTCAGTTAAGAAGAGTCTACCCTTGAATTCGGGGCCTGACCCTTCCTGGGGGCATAGCCAGGGGCAGAGGTGAGCCTGGAGAAGCCTGTGCATTCACGTGGCCTGCAGAGCTTTCTGTGAATGCCCAGTGTAGAGTTGCAGGAATTCTGTGCATGCCCGGTGTACTACTGTAGGACCTCCTGTGCATGCCCAGTATAGGCCCAGGTGTGGAGGGATGCCTCATGTGACCTGCCTCTAACAGGTACTTTTAAGTTTCTGGGGATGCTTGGACAACCCAGAGCCTCTTGGAGAATAGAAATGCCTGGTTCCCCTTAGTAGTAGCAATTCTTTTCAAGTCCTGACTTAGTCATGGGTGACACCTTCTCCATTCTAACTGACTCCCCATTAGGGTGCATCCTCAAAAATTAGGAAATCTTTCAGTGTAGCACAGAGAAGACAAGTAGTGACTCTGTGACATCTTACTATACTGATGGACAGTGACTTCAATGGGGTGTGGGGGGGACTTGATAATATGGGTGAATGTAGTAACCACAATGTTTTTCATGTGAAAGCTTCA